GCGAGAGTTGAAAATTAACACTAGTTCGTGAAAATAATAGATTTAGGAAATATGCTACGAGAGTAAGACCATTTCCTTTACAACTATAGATTCCTATAATCTTAATTTGCGCATATTAATTACTATAGTCACGAGAGTAGTCATAGGGTTAATATCAGTAAGAGAATATAACACGAGAGTGTATAATTCTTAATTTTGAGAATCGTTGTGAGATTAATAGAACAAAAAATCCAACTATTAAAAGTTAGATTGTGTGAAGTAATTTAATTGGTGAAATCAACTTCCTTGTTTGTGTTTTTGTGTTTATTGTATTGTTTACTATCTTTTTATTAATTTAGTTGATATAAATCTCTCGGTGATTTATTTATCTAAATAATAGAGTAAGTTTGATTACTTGGTAATTTGACTTTCCTTTCTGTAGGATCGATCCTACTCCACTTTACTACGCTCATTTGTTTTGAATAGGTTAATATTATTTGATTAACTTAACGACGGCCTGTCAAATAACTTGTTGGGTTTTCCCTTTAGTTTCAATCTCTTAAACTTTCTTTAAACCTCCTGGCCTAATGGGAAATGGAAGTTGTAACACCCAAGCAAAGAATGCAACAGCAAATTCACTAGTTTATCTTTCTATTTCTTTTGGGACAAAACGTATATGTGGAAGTCCCAGTATCAATGTGTAATGTAATGTCCAAATGCGACAAAAGATGAAATCAAAGAGAAGAGGCAGCTTTGAAACCGTGTTTATCTATGTCAAGGTTGTTACTTCATTTGGAATTAGAATTCAGTTTTTCACTAGGAGAAAAATTAAGCTAAATTAGAACTAGCCCTTTTTATCTTAGCATCTCATTGAGTACGTACTTGAATAATGGTTATGCAGCCCTGCATCGAACTCGGATTCCCATCAGAGTGAAAAGTCAAAGGCACAACCCCGAAGTATGATTTTAACCTTTTTTTACTCCCTCGAGTACTTACTATGAGATATTTTGACTTTTCATAGGTTTCACTTAGTACGCATTTTTTATCTATAATTCAAGAAAACACAACAAATATGAAAATATATTTTTAAGATTTCTTTGTCAATAAAAATGCGTATAAGTTGAAACTTAGGACAAATCAAAATGTATTATATTAAGGATCGGAGGGAATATTTCTGTTTATTATATATATATATATATGTAGCGAGATACTTTCTGTGGCCCGAAATTATTATCTACTTTGAATTTTTATTTTACTAAAATTGACATATTAAATTAGACAATAATTTTGTGACGGAAGAAATAAGTATTAAATATGTAAATAGTATTGTTAGAGATTTCGAGTCCCTTATACATAATAGTGTTGTGCCGGGGAGAATGTTTTGGAGTTTGTAGTTTATTGATTGGTAATTTGCTCTGATGACAGATGAACTAACATAATCCACAATGTGTCATTTAACCAATATTACCAAAACACGAATCAAGGGGTTCTGAGATACTAAAGGCAACGTCAAAAGGACATTCGAATTTCAGTGCTGTTGGCACTTCAATGAACTATCAATATTTTAATTAGGTTATTGCCTTTTGTTCATTTTGGTACCAGAAATGCATCTCCTTCGTACAAAGTAGAGTTGACTTCTTAGCTTTTTACGCCATCAGAATTTGGTCAATAAGTCATTGCTTTCGGATGTTTTCTTTAAGTTTCTCGTCCGCATTAAGAAATGGCCTGATTGTTATAGAAAATATTGACCAAAAATTGGGGAGAAGACCATTACATTAGAACGTTGACTTTTTTGGGGCTGGAGTGGGAGAAAAATAATGGATGTAATTTTATTTTATTTTATTTTTTGGAAATGGTATAATGGATGGATAATAATAAGTTGTCAAATGGAGCTCTCTTTTTCTGCATTAAAAAAGGAGGACCATTATGAAAATATCATTCATTTTCGTCTAAAAAAATAATCTTGTTTGTTGATAAAAAAAAAAATGAACTCTTTCGCAAAAAGAATGTGAAAAACAATCAAAGCCTATTGAGATTTTTACAACCTCAATTTTATTTAACTTAAAAAATTTGCTCACACACAATACACAAAACGAAAATCTGAAATCTAAATATAGAAATTCAAATATTCCTTTATTTAATTTTCTAGATTTTTAATTTCCATGTTCTATCTATACGCAATCTGACTTATATGGAGATCAAATCTAAATATAAACATTTAAAATCCAGCCTAATTTTATTGTACCAAAAAAAAAAATCTGAAATCTATTAAAAGTTTAGAATCAGAGTAATGAAATTTTTATCTTTTTTATAAGAGTTATATAAACATGTTTGATATTATATATTACTACGTAATATATATATATATATATATATATATATATTTTTGCATCAAAAATTGATTTCTCCAATTTTTAACCTTCATCAAAATCGATAGTTTACTAATTTTTCTACACTTCATGAATTGATTTGTTAAATTGTTAACATTTGACAACCTATAACTTGATGGTAGAAAACTTTGAAAACTATCTCTTACTCTATCTGTCCACAAGAGGAAAAAAAATACCAATGGAAATACTATTTGATTTCAAGTAACACTGCTTCTGCAATAATATCTATAAAACATCCCAAACAATTTCCTTCGACGGATTCACCGAATCTAATGATTGTGTGTAATCTATATCTTCAATCACCAGAGTACATAAATTTTTTTTTTTTGAATGAAGCGCACCAGATTACATAACTCGGTCATCTCTAAGAAACAACAATAACAACATGAGTCCTACTTTTGAAAATTCATTTCTTTCACTTCTTCGTCTGCTCATCCTATGTTTTTTATGTACAACAAAACCTAATCTAAGATATCACTGGGAAGTTACCATTAAGAGCGAGTTATCTAGAGATGGCAACACTCTAGAATACCATGTTAGAAGGAAAACAGTGATGATTTTGGCTGTCATATACTTGATCCTTTTGCGGAGTTTCATTTCGGGTTTAATCGGGGCATTTTTTAAAAATCCAAAATATTATTGTACATTTTGGTGGGCTGGAAAGGTTAGATATATGGCTGTTTTCGATCGCAGAATAAGCCATTGCGCCCCAGGTCATATTGTCTTTTGGCTAGTGAAATCGGATGGTTTTTATTTGAAGACTTGATTTGACGGAAATCCTTTTCACAAAATAAATGAATGGAACGATCAATGATGAATATATAATTGGTTGTATGTCATAATAATAATGATCAAAGTTTAGACTATGAAATATTTTGTTCTTGTCTGATTTGTTTTTTTTTTTTTGTTTTTTTGTTTTTTGCTAATTCTTGTAATCTAATTTCTTAAGTCTCCACCGATACTATCACTACATTTTTTTGTCTCTCTCATGTCTCTTACATTGTGTCGATTCCCAAGAATCAAGTTATTGCTGCATCAACGACAATATATAGCTTCTTTGATGGAATTATGCATCGTTGAGTGGAAAGTATTAAGGATTCCTCCAGAAAGGACAATGCATGAGATTAGCACTGCAAATTAAATGAACAACAGGTACATTCACAAGCAACTCCTGGTGAATAGGTTTCTATCAATGTAGTGTTGATATAGATGTGACAGTTAGAGCATCGAAAGCTTTGTAGTATTTGGGAAGATTGAAAATTTTCCTAGTTTATCTTGTTGTGAGGAAGGTTTAGCTGTAGCAACTACCTTATAATCACACACTTTTGGGAAGCTATTGCAGCAGAATCAGTCATTCAAACGTCAGTCTGGAGAACCCTGAAAATTAATAGATGAAACTGACTAGGTTATAGCGATTCTGCAAAAACAACATACTCATTGAAACACATGTCGGGAAATCAAAATTCTAACAGGAGTTTTGCGAGTTAATGTGCCCCTTTTGTAATAATTCATCTGTCCCAAAAAGTTATCCTATTTTGATTTTCATTTTTTATATAATTTAAATTAAAAATAAAAATTTAAACTGGATAATCAATTCTGAACGGAAAGAGTATATAAATTAACATTCTCAAATGATTATAAACTCTTTCTCATCCAAAACTATATAGTCTTATTTGCTAAATTAACTGTACACAATCATGCAGAACTAATCTCTCGGAGATAGATGTAGTACTACTTGTAATATGACTGTATAGAACAAGTACATGATACGATATCCTACGTATTAATTGTTAACCACAAGTTAAAAAACTCGTGTTTTTAAAGCAGCCATGAGCATCAATAGTAATAACAATTTATATTTGGAGAAATTTTCTTCTTGATGAAAAGAGACTTACCCGACTCAATTGAAGATTCCTTTAGTAGGTGTATTCGCTTTGAAGTACCTCATAGTTCCTGAACCAAAAGAAAAAGAAATATATGTCAAGCTTTTAAGTTCCAAATTAACTTCCGAAATTTTGAACCTGCCTTCTATAATAAGAATTAATTGTTTAAGATAATTTCACTGATACAATCAATCAGTATTAAACAACCCGTGTAAAAAGATTTCAACTTTAAACATTAAAACTACTGCTTTTCATTGACATTCCATCCAGAAAAAGCACATCAAAACATGAAAAGGAAGAAAAAAAGAAAAGAAAGAAAACAGAAAAAGAAAACAGCTAGAACAAGAATAAGTAGCAGAGAACATATTCGCTACCCTATTAACAGTATCAAATCCGCATCGGAAAAAAATTGCATTGATTACTCTATGATCTATGATAAACAATAATGATGTAAAAACAGAAAAAGAAAAAAAATCACCTTGAATTAACAACAATATCAGTACTGGCACCTACAATCATATGTTTAGCTATTGTCACCATATAATTGTTATTTTATTTTATTTTATTTGTTTGAAAATGGAAACTAATTGAGGAAGACACGAAGAAAAGAAAAAAAAGGAGAGGTTAGTTTAGCAAACGATAATTTCATTCGGAAAGAAACACCGTTCTTCAGTTGAATAAAAAAAAATTGTATATATCTATTGCAAAGTAAAAAAATGAAACATCACAGAAATATGTAGTCTGGGGCTTACTCTTTTGTTAGTTGTTGGCCGTCCAGATATATCCGTAGATCTTCATTTCCATAATCCATCTGCATTTCATGAATTTCCTTTACCGAATCAAAGACACGTGGACAACTCCAGACCTTAATCATTTGAAGGGTTGAACTTTGGGCTATACAAGAAGGGATTTCCTTTAAGCGATTGCAGTGATCCAGTATCAATGTCTCAATAGATGGGAAGTTGTCATCCGAAGCCGTTGTCCATCTTTCCAAACTCATCATGTTGTATAATTCCAACACTCTGAGTTTGGAGAATGTGCCTTCTTCTTCAATGTCCCAATTTTCCCCCTTGCATTTATTACCATTCAATCGGAGAGCTTCAAGATTTGGTAGCCTTCCAATAGCTGAAACTTCATTCCATGGAAGGCAAGTTGAATACAGAGATAGATCCTTTAGATTCTGGGGAAATCGAAATTGAAAAAAGTTCGGCCCACGAGTAGTAGTGATGTAGAGTGATTCGAGTTGAGTCAAAGTGATGAAATCCACAGTGCACTCTCCTCCACCCAGATCGAGATCACAGCGTAGTGTCCGGAGATTTGGTAACTTCTTCACTACTCCCACCATCGTTTGGCTGCAGGTGAATCTTACAGTCGAGAAAGTCTGCAAATTCTCCAAATTGGCTACGGGAATCTCTGATGGCAATATCCACTCCCAAGCTCCATCCAGATGCCTTAATTTTTTCATACCCCACAAAGTATCCGGCAACAAAACTCTGTCACCACCAACAATCAAAGTCTCCAAATCTGAGAGATTGAGAATTGACGATGGGATGATTATTTCTGAAACGAAATAAGATACTGCGAAATCCAAGTATTTCAACTGGACAAGTAGTAGAATCACACATGGGAATGTATCAAACTCAAATCCTGGGCTTAAGACCAAAACTCTTATAAGCTTGAACTGGAAAAACTTGTATAGAGATGTTGGTAGTTGATAGACTTCGGGTTTTGTAACAAACAACAGTGTGCGTAGACGAGGATAGAGGGACCTCGATTCTGAGAATTTCTCCGCTCCACTGAAATCAATAGTTAACCTGTACCGCTGTCTAGCCTCAAGACAACCATTAAGCTCCTGACCACGTAGCCGATGCATAAAGTGTTCTTCTTTGCTTCTCGCTATGGCGAAATCGCGTAGCAAGTCATGAAGGACACACCGTTGCATCTGGCCTAGGTGATCTCTTCCTGCAACCATCACTAGATTTCTCTGTACCAACTCCATCATGTAACCCTTTGCAACATCCTCTAAGCACACTCGTCCTGCAGTTTCCTGCACGAATCCTTCTGCAATCCATAGCCGTAAAATCTTGCGAACAGGTATTGATTGGTCCTCTTCAAATGCTCCCAGATAAAGAAAGCATGGTTTCAAACGGTTTGGCAAATGTCGATAACTCAACTCAAGAGTCTCCATGCACTGATCTGCAGCCATTGCACTACCTGTTTTTAGCATTTCTCAACTTCTTCCCACTTACTTGGCTCTGTATTAGCGAGAATTCCTGCAACAATTAAAATCATCAGCGGCAATCCCTTGCAGGATTTTGCTATTGTCTTGGCACGAGCAATTACTTCTTCCGATGGACAACTTTGGTCAAAGCACATCTTCTTCCAAAATAATTTAGTGCACGAAGACGGTGAGGTTCAGAGTGTGGATTGATTTTAGTCACCTGTCGACTGGTTAGGAGAATTCTGCTACCCTTATCATCGTCTGGGAATGACATTGTCAAACTATTCCATACTTGAGTATCCCAAATATCATCCAAGATGATAAGATACCTGATTCCCTTCAACCGTTTACGGAGTCTTTCAGCCAAATCATCTTCCCTCATATTTATATACGCTCCAGTTGAATTCTGGTCCAGACCGCTTAAAATCCCAATCAACAAACTTTTTGTGTTGTATTCTTGAGACACGGTGAGCCAAGAGCGAACCTGGAAGTGACGAGAGATGTGGGGATGATGATAAACTTTCTTGGCCAAACTAGTTTTACCTAATCCGGCCATGCCCACAATCGAAACCACATCTAACTGTTTTGTCCCTCTAGCGAGTCTATCGATGATGATTTTTGCCTCGTCATCCAAGCCCACCACTCTCTCATGGGAATCTGGGATCTTACCAACTGCTGGTGCCATCTTAAGGTTAGCTTGACTAATCTTTTGAACTGCAATGGTTGGCTCCATACTCCAAGGAATCTCCGAGACCCGAGTCTTAATAAGCTCAATCTCTGTTATGATAACATCAAGCTGCACAATAAGGCTCGTCCGGAGTGGTTTACCAGCAACAACCAAAGAATCAAGTACAAACTCCGTGTCATAAGCTACCGCTGCCACGCAACTCAGAGAGATCTTGGATCGTCATCCCATTATCAAGGACTACAAAAGATCTTAAAACTGTAAGATCATCGTGGAGGGCTTGGAACTTATCCTTTTCTGAAGAAACTTGATAGAGATGAAAAATTAGGATGCCTGCCTCACAAATCAAAGGTCTAATGAGGTCATCAAGCTTGTCATGCTGCTCTGATAGAGTGGTTCTCAAGAATGAGAGTCCCTCATGCACTTTATGCATTTCGTGGTGAAACATGTCCACAAAAATGCAATCACGGAAGAAAAGGTTCAAAATCAGAAAAATGAGAGAATCCACAAAGTCTCTAAACACCAATGCATGAGTTTCTTTAGTGGGATGGAAGGAGGACCCTGAAAACTTTGAAACATCTTGCAAGACACCAACATAAATCTCAAAAACACGCGACTCAACTGGCTCAATTTTTCTCATAAGTTCACGATGAGAATTTGATGAAAGATAACGTTCAATGCAAACATCAAAAAGTAGGACTGCAGATTGAATAAATACACGTTCAAAGTGAGTCAAGAGATCTCCGATGATCTGCCTATCCTCAAGTCCATGAAGCGTAGCAAAGCGAATGAAGTTCTTCATGAACGTTACGGTTTCATTTGCGCCGGGACTGCGAGATTCAAGACTCTGCAAACTGTGAAGAATGAAGTCGACGCTGTCCAGCAGTTGCTTCCCATCTGTTCGAGAAGAGGATCTTGTTTGCAATGTGAGATCTGACCCCAACATTCGGCCCAATTCCTCAATTCCTGGATACACCGATACAACAATTGTCCGAAGAAAATCTTTAAGCACAACATCCCATCCCTCCGAATCATCATCCCATCTCTCATCAGAATCATCAACCCTCAGCAATTTCTCCTTGAACGTGAGACAAAGAAACAAAGTTTCCAGGGAATGTCTGTGAAGAGTCTCCTCACTGTACACACTGCAGTTTCCCAGCCCACATCTTGTTCGTCGCCCCAAGATCTAAATAACTTCGCACAAGTCAACGCAGATTCTTGATCCAATTAATTAAGAAAGTTTTATCGAAAAAAAAAAACAAGGAATGGCTTGGGGGTAGAGGGACTTGAGAGAAGAAAAAATATCAAAAGATAACTGGTCGTACTGAAACTTAAGACTTCAGATCAAAACAGAGACTTGAAAGATGAGGAAATGAAAATTTCAGAAGAGAAATGAAGTTCAGAGCAAGAAGACTAATTAAGCATTACCTTTCATGAAGACAGAACCTTAATTAAAATTACAATACTTTGCCATTAGCTTTGTACTACTAGTGCTAATATTTATTTATGTTTACTTTTTCTTTGAAACAGTATACCTATTACTACTACTATTAGATTATTGACATTAAGCAGACTTGTCCAAAAGTAGTTGCCTGGAAGGAAACGGGGATTAAGCTTTACCGAAATTGATATAATAATGCAACTAATAATAAAGTAATAATACAATAATTACTTCTTAAAAAATTCAACAAAGTCTCTTTAAATTGCAAAAGAATTGTGCCTTGGCAGTAGTGAGATCTCAACTCAAAACTCGAGCCAATTTGCAGTGCTGCTTCTAATTTTTTTTTCTTTTTTAGAAATCACAGACTCCAAAGAACTCTTTATTTCAATTTTATTTATTTATTTGGTTAGTTATTAGTATTTTATTTTATTTTTCGGCGCAAACATTAACGCAAGACTTAAGGTTGTTGTTTTCGTATTTGTAAAACTTTTTAGGGCAAAACTCAGCGTTGGTCCCCAAACTTTAGGAGTAGCTCAGGTGAGTCATCAAAAAATTTTCTTCAACGGTTTTAATTACCATTTTTAGTTTTATTCAACACTATGGTCCATTTGAAGGGAGAATACATTAAGTTAACGGTGAATGATCAAAATCCGTTAATTGTTAAAAAACAGAAACTCAAAACAAATAAGTCAAAAAAAAAAAAAAAACCTTCCCTTTCAACTCCCCCCACCCTGCCGCCTAGGGGTGTTCACGGTCCGGATTGGTAGCAATCCGTAACCAAACCGTTCATTACGGTTTGAAATTTTTCAATCCGTAACCGAATCGGATTGGTGTATAATCCGGACTAATCCAATCCGTTTTTAACGGTTTGGTTTGGGCAGATTGGCGGTTTGGGCTTTTGATTGGACACTTTCATTCTGGCAAAAAATTAAATATTTTTTCGTTGTTGCACTTTTTTGGGGGCTTTTCTTGAAATTTTTTGGGCCTTTTTCAGCCTTTCTCTTGGAGGCTTTTCTTGAAAGAAAAAAAATAGTCCATGGGGGATTCGAACACGACCTTCAGCAAGGTCTAGTATAGAGGGAACAATAACAATGTCAATGGAAAAATTTAGCACTTTCGATAAAAGTCTCTATCCGACGCTATATATACAAAACTAATATATTATTATTTTATAATATATATACGGTCCGGTCCGGATTGACAGACGGTTTGACAGTGCCAAACCGTAATCCAGACCGGATTGACCGGTTTTTAATTTTTCAATCCGCCGGTTTAAAAGAATAATTATAATCCGCCCGTTAATCCGAACCGATGACCGGATTGGGCGGTTCCACCAGTTTGAGCCAAACCGTGAACACCCTTACTGCCGCCGGCACCGCCCCCACCACCCAGTTGTTCATCCTTCCCTCCCACCTTCTCCATTTCTTCCCTTTTAATTCATCTCCCATTATCCACATATAATTTCCATCCGATTTACAAAATCCTCTTGTTTCATGATTTCAAGCAGGAACGCCTCTAAGGATCCACCATAAAAGGGTCTAATTTGAGCTATAGTTCTTTTCACAAATTGATTTCCTTCTTTGGCTACAAATTTACTACTGTCAATTTGAATTCCTCACATCTTAATATTGGAGCAGGAAAAGGAATAATAATTCATTAATTTGGGTTCTCTTTCTTCTTCATGGAATACTAGGGGGGGGAGGGGGGAAGAAAGATGGTGGCAACTGGTGAAATGGTTGAGGAATCATTTGGTTCGGATTCGCCATGATTCTGAGGTATATAAATTACTGAATTTTTTTTTTATTTCTTGAAATTCAATTTCTTTTGATTGGATTTGAATAAGGACATTGATGTGTGAATTTCGTAGCTAGAGTTTAATTTTTGTAACACAATTTGAGTTGTTTGGTAATAAGGAGATTTGACTTGCCTGATTTTTTCTTCTATCCCAGCCAAGATCATCACCAATTTGCAGAATTTTTCTACCATGTTTATTCCCCATGGTAGCAGTATCCATAACAAGAAACAACAATAGATATTGCATAGAGAATTTCATGATCCATTGGCTATGTTTCTGCATCAAATGTGATGCTTTGCTAGTAGAAAGGATCGTTGAAATATTGTATGAGGATGAACTGGTGGGCGGTGGTGGTGGTGCCGGCGGTGGGGTGTGCGGAAGAGGAAGACAAAAGGGCGAGCCGTTGGTGGTGGTTTGGGGTTTGGAGGAAAAACTCTAAATAAATAAATAAATAAAATATTTGTTGGTCCCATTATTGATGAAATATTAATAAAATATTAAATAGTTGACAGATTTTCTAATTCACCGTTAAAGTTAATGAATTTTTCATCAAATATACATAGCTGTTGAATAAACTTAAACTTGAGGACTAAAATCGTTAAGAAAAATTTTATGGTGACCGACCTGAGTTACCCCCCAAACTTTGGGGAATACTGAGTTTTGCCCAACTTTTTAAGTATATACAGCTAAATCAATCTTAAAGGGAATTGACAGAAGCAAGTAATAAAAATTGATTCTTTCTTTCAAAAATAGTTCTATACCTTATGATACATTGTAAAGGCAAAACAATTATTAAATATGAATATACATAATTTCGATCATCTTGAATGATTTTGATTATTTTCATTCCTTCAAAAATTTAATTAATTCATTCTTGGGACTTCAAGCAGCAAATAAGCCACAATATTGAACAGATTCATGCCGCAATAAGCAGCAATTTTGGATATCTTTCACTGTGGATTATAATTCTGGGAGTTGCTGACTAACAGAGTAGAAATTTGTTATATTCTGGGTTAGAGTCATTGTATCTGCTCTCCAATCATCTGCTGTGAATCTAGGAAAATGAAAAGTTTGATTTTGTGATGATCGCCATGGCCAACTTGTTGGATTCGCTAGGATGTTGACTAGAGTTTTCGAATCCGTTTCTGCTTTAATTTGAGTAAATCTAAGGCTTTGGCAAAGTTGCATACCTCTCACGAGAGCTTCAACTTCAGCTTGAAAATTAGAGGCAGTGCCAATAAATTTTGCTTCAGTTAGAATAACTTTTCCTTGCATGTCTTACTCCACAGCCTGCATCACCTGGAATGCCAATTGAGGACCCATCAACGTTGATCTTTATTCCATTAGTTGGTAGGGTCCAAGTAAAAAATAATGGGGTACTCTTTCTTGCTTCTTTTGCAAAAGGAATGAGTCCTGCAGTTACAAAGCTTGAATCCTTGGCTGAGGATGCTTTAAAAGGCACTGCTTTTGCCATAATGTGTAGATCTTGGACGATAAGCCTCACTGCAATGTGTGGAGAGATTTATTCCTACATTTCCACAGCTGCCAACAAATGAGAGAGGGGAGGAGAATCTTTAGCTTCCAAGTCAGCTTTGAAGATTGTCTTCTTGTCCACCATGTAGATGAAAGATCATCAAAATCCAAAATTTCATTGTTTGCAAAGCCCATAATCGTTACAAAATGTCTCCAAATGTGTTTAGCATAAGAACATTCAAAGAAGTTATGCCGAATGCTTTCAACAAGAGTCTTGCATAAAGAACACACAGAGGGAATATTCAGTCCTGTTTTCATTAAAACATCAGCAAAGGAAAGTAACCTGTTGTGCAATCGCCACATGAAGATCGATATCTTTAGCTGAAGCCTTTTGTCCCATATATAAGTGCATTGTTGGGATGATTCTTGTCTTTTCCGCAAGTGATTGAATGCTGATTTGAGAGAGAATTTTCCAAGAGTATCATTCTGCCAAATCCAGTCATCAGCTTCATTTGATAGTGTAACATCTTTACTCTCTATTTCATTGATGTCATCCTGGAGTAGAATTCCTTGTAGTGAGTCCAGATTCCAAGCTTCATTATCAATCAAGTCTCTAACCAGCACTTTAGAATTATTCCCAAGTTCTTCATCATATTTAACAGAAAGGCAACCTGTGCCAAGCCAGTCATCCTTCCAAAAATTTGCATCACCATTTTTTATCTCAACAAAGGTGTTGTTTCTCATGTATTTTTCCCATGGCTTCAACCTGGAGTGAAAAACCGAGGAATCAATTCCTTTCTTCCTCTTGTTAATAAAGGATGCCCAAATTCCCGTTTTTGACAAGAGCTTCCACCACATTTTGCATGAAAAAAGCATCAAGCACATCACTAAGAGACCTAGTGCCAAGTCCATTTTCTTTCGTAGGATATGCCATCTTTTCCCAGCTGCGCCAAATTCTTCGTTGTTGTCCATCAGCCACACCCCAAAAAAATTTTGACAATCGACCCTCTATTCGTTTAAGGATGGCTTTGGGCGGATTGAAAGCTGAAAAAACATATGGCATATATGAGGATAACACATGTTTAATTAGAATTAACTTACCTCCGGGGGACAAAACTCTGCTTTTCCAACCAGATATCTTAGCATTAATTTTGGACAAGAGACCATTAAAGTATTCCTTTTTGCATCTTCCCTTAAATAGAGTACCCCCAAGATAGTTGAGAGGGAAACTACCACAGGAGATTCCAGTAATTGCAGAGACAGCAACAATGTTTTCTTGAGAAGCTTTCTTGGAAATTATGAAGGTGCTTTTGGATTTGTTAATTTTCTGTCCTGTGCTTTCTTCATATAGTTTGAGGAAGTCCATAAGACTTTTCAATGAATTACGATTAGCTTTCACGAATATCACCAAATCATCGGCAAAACTTAGAAGACTGATGGACAGAGATGATCTCAAAGAGTCATATGGTTGAATAAATCCTGCATCAATGATAGCATGAAGACCTCTAGGGAAGGCCTCAGTGAGTAAGATAAACAAGTAGGGGGACAGAGGATCCCCTTGCTTGAGGCCCCGAGATGGTTTAAAGAATTGAAATGGCTTACCATTGATGAGAACAGAATTCCAACAACTTGTAAGATTATTCTTGATTAAATCAATGAATCTATCATGAAAACCAAGTTTTGCAAGAAGTAGACTTATAAAATGTCATGACACTCTATCGAATGCTTTCATTATATCAAATTTGAAAAATATATTATCACCTCTAGTTTTTTTTGTCAATGGACTGTCCTAGTTCTTGAGCCAGCAAAAGATTGTCAGAGATATCTCATTCCACAAGTTTCGTCACTCGTTCAATCTTGTTACATTTAGCATATACCAGGGAAATAACCGACTCAAAGGAACCTAAATATGTTAGTCTTAAACTTAACATTTGAGCAGATTGCGAAATCAAACTTACATTGAAATCATTAGACCAAGAAAACCAGATTTTACCATTTTCTGAACATAGTGCATTAGACAGACCAAACCGTAGTCTATAGTCGTCTAGTTTTGAATTTTTAACTAGGGGCTTAATCAAAACTATAAAATTAATAGAATGAGACTTTATTAAATTTTTAACTCTCCAAGAAGTCAAAAAATATACAGGCAGCTCTATCCTGACAGAAGATCAAGAAACGACTATTGGTTCAGGGAGATTAGACTACAAGATCCAGTTAAAAGGCCGTGCACCAGTTTATGAGAATCGAAGGTAAAGAAAATCACACTAGTGTCAATTCGATTTAACCATATCAATAACAAAACACCACATAATGGAAAAGTAATCAATCCATGTATAAGTGATATCTCACTCTGGGGTTAAAAAAAATCCCAAAAAAGCATTTCCATTTAAACTTATTACATGCTTTTACCTAAAACTATAATATCCCAACTATAATATCCAGCAAACGTTTAATAGCTGATGTAGCCATCAGATGCCTCGATCTTGAACCCTAATAAGTAACCGTCGTAGATCCATTGATTCTACGAATATCCAGAAATACAACCCTCCTAAATCTGTTGATTCTTAGAAACCTGGAAATAAGGACTAAATTTTAACACACCTTGGGATTTTCTACGATGAACTCTCAATTTTTTTTATAAAAATCAACAATCAACATACGAAGAAACGGCCAAAGGGCTTAAATAGACAAGAACTTATTTACTTTAAACCCTAATTACAAATAACAAAATTACTTAAATATATAAATAATAAAACCCTAATTTACTTTAATTCTTCGCCTCCATGATTCTCCCATGGTGAGAAAAATTCATCCTCGAGGTTAATAGTAGCTTTGCATGATCAAATGGGAACCCATAGTATCAATCGGTTCCCCTTTGAAGATAGATCCGGTTCGAACTTCATTGAAAATAGTACCAGTAGCAGTATGTTCTTCGGATTGAGATACTAGAGCTTGTCGATATGAGATGGAGGAAGGCGCAGGCCTACCCTCCGACACCGTGGTGGCGGCCATAGGAGTTCAGCAACGGTAAAAAAAAAGTTAAACGACTAGCTGAGGGTGACGTTTCACTATGTTCCCTTATTATACCATATTCTCTCTGTAGAATAGAGTTAGTATTGCTTAAGATCTACATAACACAGAATTCCCTCTTGTAAATATTCGTGTCGATTTAGATAAAACTATACATATCATGACAGTTTCTAGTCTATTCCAATTTAAAAAAATTAAAATATCAAACACTTAATCATGCAAATTAAAAAAAAAATAATATGAAAAATTAAATAAAGTTTTATGACCATTTATTAATATTATAATCAATTTAGGTTATACCAATTTAATAAATCCAATTTTTTTACATTTACAAAATTGACTATTTTTCTAAAATAGATGTAGTATGATTTATTTTGGAACCTATTCTGTCAGGGGCGTGTCTAACCGTACAAAGACCAAAGAAAGTTGTTGCCGTGATGGTCATTCGCCATTGTGGGTGTGTGGGAGTTAATGACTCCGTCCTCCGGTAGAACATCACAAGTTTGTGAATTCTATTGCTTCAATTCCATCACACACATCTAAAGAAAACCATTATAATTATCAGGCTGAACTTCAGATATGGAGTGTGCAATAAGAAATAGGAACTTATGCTAACACTTTAGTTCACGGCACGAAAGCAACACACAAAAAGGAAAGGGATCGACATTGTATTCATGGAAATTAAGTTCATAAATCAGAAACATTAAGAACCTCAAATTATAAAGAAGAACAACCATAACGAAAGCAAAAAAGAGTTCTATGTGAACTCCCGTTGCAAGAATTTGTTCATGACGCCATAATTAGGATACAGGTAAATTAAACTAAGAGCCTAAGAAACCATTCATAAGTCATCAAAGCTATCCAAAACCATTCATAAATTAAACTACATTTTTCTGTCTCTCTCATGTCTCTTACATTGCGTCGATTCCCAAGAATCAAGTTACTACTGCATCAACTGCAATATATAGCTTCTTTGATAGAATTATGCATCGTTGAGTGGAAAGTATTAAGGATTCCTCCAGAAAGGACAATGCATGAGATTAGCACTGCAAATTAAATGAACAACATGTACATTCACAAGCAACTCCTGGTGAATAGGTTTCCATCAATGTAGTGTTGATATAGATGTGACAGTTAGAGCATCAAAAGTTTTGTAGTATTTGGTAAGACTGAAAATTTTCCTAGTTTATCTTGTTGCGAGGAAGGTTTAGCTGTAGCAACTACCTTATAATCACACACTTTTGGGAAGCTATTGCAGCAGAATTAATGTTTCAAGCGTCAGTCAGTCGTCACTGGAGAACCCTGAAAATTAATAGATGAAACTGATAAGATTATAGCGATTCCACAAAAACAACATACTCATTGAAACGTAGGTCAGGAAATCAAAAGTCTAACAGGATTTTTGCGAGTTAATGTGCCCCCTTTTGTAATAATTCATCTGTCCTAAAATGGTTATCCTATTTTGATTTTCATTTTTTATATAATTTGAATTAAAAATAAAAATTTAAACAGGATAATCAATTCCGAACGGAAAGAGCATATAAATTAACATTCTCAAATGATTATAAACTCTTTCTCATCCAAAACTATATAGAGTCTTATTTGCTAAATTAACTGTACACAATCATGCAGAACTAGTCTCTCGGAGATAGATATACTACTACTTGTAATATGACTGTATAGAACAAGTACATGATACGATATCGTATCTATTAATTGTTAACCACAAGTTAAAAAACTTGTGTTTTTAAAGCAACCATGAGCATCAATAGTAAATAACAATTTATATTTATATTTGAAGAAATTTTCTTCTTGATGAAAAGAGACTTACCCGACTCAATTGAAGATTTCTTTAGGTGTATTTGCTTTGAATTACCTCATAGTTCCTGAACCAAAAGAAAAAGAAAGATATGTCAAGCTTTTAAGTTCCGAATTAACTTCCGAAATTTTGAACCTCCCTTCCATAATAAGAATTAATTGTTTAAGATAATTTCACTGACACAATGAATCGGTATTAAACAACCCGTGTAAAAAGATTTCAACTTTAAACATTAAAACTACTGCTTTTCATTGACATTCCAACCAAAAAAAGCACATCAAAACATGAAAGGGAAGAAAAAAAGATAGAAAAGAAAACAGCTAGAACAAGAATAAGTAGCAGCGAACATATTCGCCTACCCTATTAAGAGTATCAAATCGGCACAGGAAACAAATTGCATTGATTACTCTATGATCTATGATAAACAATAATGATGCAAAAATAGAAAAAGAAAAAAAAATCACCTTGAATTAACAACAATATCAGTACTGCCACCTACCATCATATGTTTAGCTACTGTCGCCATATAATTGTTATTTATTTATTTATTTTTTTGAAAAATGGAAACTAATTGAGGAAGACAAGAAGAAAATAAAAAAGAAGGTTAGTTTAGCAAATGATAATTTCATTCGGAAAGAAACACCGTTCTTCAGTTGGATAAAAAAAAATTGTATATATCTATTGCAAAGTAAAAAAAATGAAACATCACAGCAATATTGAGAGTGGGGCTTACTCTTTTGTTAGTTGTTCGTCGTCCAGATATATCCGTAGATCTTCATTTCCATAATCCATCTGCATTTCATGAATTTCCTTTACCGAATCAAAGACTCGTGGACAATGCCAGACCTGAATCATCTGAAGGGTTGAACTTTGGGCTAGACAAGAAGGGATTTCC